GTTAATTTTTTCAGTTTATTCCTAGAGGACTTGCTTGTTCAACTGTAAAGTTTGATAATTTAACCAAACTTGAAGTTGAACTCCAGTTGAACTTCAGATGGAGTTTGCTTGTACAATTCCTTCAAATTTCTGACAATCTTGAAGTCCTAATTGTAAGTAGAGTTTATCGTTTATGCAATTAAATTTGTCTTTAGCCGCTTCTCTGTTTTCTTACAACAACAGCTCTTCTTGTTTTACTCATTTTGTTATGCTCCTTTTAGTGTGATCAGGTTGATGTTGAGAAGGTTTATTTCTGTCGGGAGCCCAAACATGTGCCTAAATGCCTATTATCATGTCTAAGAAGTATAACAATTAAGTCGATGTGGTTCAAAGAGCATGAATTTGAGATGGTAAGATACCTTTTGAGGAATTCTCGAGTATTGGAGAGGATGGATCTATTTACTTGTGAATGTATTGATGTGGAAAGGAAATTCCAAGCGCTTAAAAGAATTTCATTGTTCGATCGAGGATCCAACGCATGTCAGGTTGCCTTCCATTAAGACTGTTTGAGTGATTGGACCGAGGTCAAATTCAACGGTTGGCTTAATGTTACTCGAATTTCATTGTTTGAGTTAGTTGAGTGATTGGCTTGAGATTTAGTATGTAGTAAGTACTGATGTAATGTTCCTCAAGTTTTGTAGTAACTATTTTGACTTGCATACGTTTCGTGCAATTGTGGACTGAAATTATTGTAACTTGATGATGATTCATAAACTCCCTAGTGTTGTGTTCAGTGTTGCTCAAATTTTACTGTTTTAGTACCCACCCTTGTTGCAGTAGCAGCTCTACATTTACCAGCAAGTACAAAAAAAAAATTGATTGAAATTTCACAACATTATATTTCAATGTCCTATATGCCAGAAAGAAAGAAAGAAAAAAAAAATCCTGGAAATTTACCAGTCACCAAGAATTCCAAAAAAACACTAGAACCAGTTTCAAAGTAAAAATAAATCGCCTGATAAAAGACACAGATAACAATTTTTATTTTAGTCGCGACTTTCGGACTTAAATAAATTATATCACCACGTCACTTTATTCTGTGAATATTTATTACTACTTTTGTGATATATGTTTCATCGACAATCTGTAGAATGCAAGCTCGTGTTCACGTGGGATTAAGCTTGGTTTTAACTGTTAGATGATCAACACAAATGTTAGTTCTTAAGTATTCAGGTGGTAAATGTATCTTTGGAGATTGTGTTATGTTGCTGGTGTAGGACTAATTATTCTTCCGGTTGAAGGTGGATAAAATATCAGCTTTTTTTTTCTTCTTTCCTTTTCTTTTGCACCTTCTATCCCGGACTATTTCTTATACTATGTTGTATGTCTAGTATTTTACTTCAATAAAATCAAAAGAAAATTCATATGAGTGCAATCTTATCGGAAGTTCAATACGAGGAGGGAAAATTTTAAAAAATACCCTGTTTGCCAGTTCCTGTCGACTTTGCGCAGTCGATTCTTCAATCTGCACGAGTTTATTTATATTACAGTGCAAAAATACTTTTCCATTGCACAATTTTCAGGGCTGGAGGAGATGGAAACTCCCAAATGTTGGGGGTGTGAAGTGAAAGTTGGAACGTTTTTCAACTATGAAAATATCAGGTTCGATAATTTAACCAAACTTCGTTTTGGTGCTGCTCGTTTTTTTTCTCAAAGAGTCCTCATAATTTTGGAATATTTATTGCCTCCTAAGGTATTTTGGGTGCAATGCAAGTTTTTACAGTTATGTGTGACACCTATAGTTTCTTACTTTACAGTACTGAGATTGTTTTCATCATCTTGTGGATGAATGTCTAAAAATGCTTTACATACAGCAAGAATAATCAGTTTTTGAGTGTGAACATGTTGATGTATTTTATTGTTTCAAAATCTAGTCCTGTCCAAGGTATAATATATATTTTTTTTTATTAAGTTATGCATTTTAAGAGTTGTTAACATTTATTCTACATATGAAACAGGTTAAAATGCAGGAGATCTCGGGTGAAGAAGTGAAATGTGGATTTCAAAATGGAGGAGAAGACGAGGGTTCGATTTACTTCATCCTTGCGCATAAAATGAAGTGAAGAAATGGGGATTTCACACCCCCATGTCCCGCTACCAAGGCCTCCATCTCCACAAGTGTCCTTGCCAAAAGATGGAGATCCATGTGGGCCCACATCCCGAATCTCGAGTTCAACATCAAGGACCACAACTCGGTTGAGATGGGAAGGAAGGGCACATACATGGTGAAGATAAATTCTACCAGGCTGAGATGGCTCGAGATGCAGGACTTTGCGCCCACGGCATCCTCGGTCGGGTTTCAAGTGCACGCATCATGCCTGACTTCGAGCCTTCGGGAGGTGAGGATCTATGGGTTCGGGTGTCGAGGGTATGAGAGTTGGTGAGGTATCTTTTGGGAGATTCAAGAGTTTTAACGGCAGTAGTGATTTATTTTTACCACCTTCAAGTCAATTGTGGGAGAAATTGAACGCGGTTAAGAGGATTCTGTTGTTCAAGCGAGTGTCCGTCAACTGTGATTTGCTTTTTATTGATATTGTATTAGGAGGGTCTGGAGTGAGATTCGCAGCCCAGAATTAGGAACTGGTTGACCAATCCTTCCAAAGAACCAGAACTTATGAGAAACTGCCCACTTTTGTCCTTACTTCGCCTGCTAAACGACAGTTGGTCAAAGGTGGATCTGGAGTGAGATTTGGTTCATTCGGATTATTAATGTTGATTTTTCGAAGTTGTGTTTGGTATGTTTGTATTGTGTTACGAGGACTATTTGTGAGGTCTGTGTATCGTGATGTCCCATCGATTGACATCGTGTCCTTCGGTTAGCGGACACAAATTTGAGAGAAAAATTAGGATTGAGCAACGAGTTTGTTTACTATTTGATTATTATTTGATAGCAAATAACTAATAATTGATGATAACATATTTATTAATTGATAGCATATTCTGATTGTTTATTTGACTAGCATATTGTATCAGCGGTTTGTAGATATAAACATGCAGTTTGTAAATATAAACACGTATCAACAGTTTGTAAATATAAACACGCGGTTTGTAAATATAAACACGAATATGCTAGTCAAATAAACAATCAGAATAATAATAGTTATTGACTACCACACTTTTATTTACGAACTCAAGTTAGACAAAATAATGCCATCACAACATCAAAGCACAAGTGAATCTTTCAAATATGAAAACACACGAGTACTGTTCAAGGCCACACTTGGCCTAACACAAAGGCACGCAGTCCCGTCTAAATGTCCACATGGTAACCACACTTTGATACCCCAGTCAATGGCCTCTACGGCATCTTGAACCTCTTCAAGACGGATCAGGGACTCACGCTCGGAGGTGTCTGACCGGACCGGTCTCAATTGATGGCGAGAAGAGTTCACAGAGGTAGGCCGCTATGTTTTTGTTGTTATTGAGTGTAAATTATTAATAATAATTGAGTAGTGCATTATGTTATTGAGTGTAAATTATTAATAATAATTGAGTAGTGCATTATGGAGTCAAATCATGTTGT